ACCTCCGCGTATAACTGAATCCATGCCGTGCGCCATGGTCCTGCTGTCGTCCACTTACACCGTGGCTTCAATACGTAGGAAACAGAGGTTTAGCTAGTGCAGGCAGGTTCTTGGTGTTATTCAGGTGCAGGTTTGTAGCCTTGGCGATGCAAAGTGTTGGGAGGACATGGATCAGTTGCTGGAGTTTCTGCACAACCTAACTAGTTCACACGATGACGTTGAGATTTCTGCCTCCCAAACTATCAACGAATCAGCAGCAGAAGGGATGGATGAACGGACTAGGGAAGGCACAAGACGTAAGCGACGCCTAGTACCCATTCCAGATGTGTCCGTCGGTCAGGAGGAAGAAGGGAACCCACTTCCTTTTAGACATTTGCGCACCACCACCGCCAGCGTGTATAAGCCTCCAAGGAAGCGTCGTTGCCCTGAAAAACTCCCAGCTCATTACGACAATGATGAGTGCACTTTGTACCTTCAAGCAGACGGTGAGGCACGGAGCAGACAGGTGGTTGATTGGGTCGTGTGCACTGACTGCGGCATTTGGTATCTTTAGCTTTGCGCGTCGTACAATGGACAGGGCATTTTACCTTCCAGCGGTGCTTGTAGTTCCTCCTTTTTCGTGTTTTTCCTTCTTTATTACGACGCGCCCGCTTCCGCTTGATCGCTAGGTACACCCACTACTCCCATATGCGGTGTCTCCACTACCTGACAGTTAAGGCAGTTATGCCTACCTCGCCATTGGGATTACACATGAGGGGAGTGCTCAGGCATACCTAAGGACATCAAAACCGGCCTCGATTCTGCCGCTTTACGATAGTACATATTATTTCCTAAGTTCCTTTATAACAACTTAATCTTTTAGCCTACCTGAAGAACCGTTGCGCACTGTAAGGCAGCAGGATAACACGTATGGAAAAGGTAAGAAGTATGCATTCCTTGCGCTGGCGCTGTATTTATGACGTTATCTAACCTCTTAGCTGCTAAGTGGTCTGCCGCTTGGGGTCATTTTAAATGGCCTCACCCATCCATAGGTGAACATAGCGTTTGGAACTGAACAACTTATGGTTTCCATAACCTTTCGTACCGCATCTAGATATTCTTGGTCTATCGATCACCCTAGCCGTTTGGGTATAACTGATGTTACTTTGGTCCCTAGTAACACTATTCTATTGGTTTACACAAGGCGGTTTCAGTGTCGTTCCTTCGGTTACTGTTTTATGGCATTTGCTTTTCTCCATTTCTGTGAGTTAGTTATTACAGCAGCTGTAAGTGGCATCCTCAATTTTAAAGGGAAACTGCTGGTGCATCGATACATAACACCGGGTCCATTCTCCGCTTGTTCCGTGTCCTAACGGACCATATGTTTGTGATGTCATATACAGCTGCTGCGCGACCACCCCCAGCACTGTATGTGGAGGCGGTTTACGAGGTGCTACCTATCAACAACATCACGGTGGCATCCTGCCCACCTACCGTATCGTAACCTCGGTCAACCCTTCCTGTAGCTAAATAGTAAAGACGGATGGTCTCCGAGACACCCATTGCTGCTGCTAAAAGTGCATTCTCACTGGGGAAGAACAGATAATTTCATATGACACCGGGTTAATGGGCATTGCAGTCCTTTCCCGCGCACGCCGTTAGTGAGTGCAAGGGTGAGGACTGTCAGCGTCTTTTACAGACTTTTGCAGTTAGCAGTTACAATATTCATGAACACTAATGGCCGATTTCCATAGCAGTCACTCGGCCTTACCCGACAACATATGCTAAGTAAGAAGGAGGTCCCCTTTTATCCTTCCGTAGTGCATGCAGTACATCCCCAAACTGAGCAAGATTTCAGGATACGCCTGTCCACGTACACTCTGCAATATCCGAGTGCCCACTCGTAACACCCTCTTCAAGCCTATGTTCTCTCGGATAACACGCGCTGGACAGATCTGAATACAATCTTCCAGGTGGGGCCGGACGAATGCCGAGGATAGCTTCATGAAGAAATTGGCCATTACGACTCGGAAAAAGCGGCGGATAAACAACATCCTATGAAACTCCAGGACAAGCAGTCTCCTTCCAATTGGTGACAGAAAATGGTGCTGATAAGTGCACGGCCCCCAAATCAACCTGCTGAGTGACAACTAGGACCACCGCCAACAACATACCGGATGGGAGGACAAGCAGCTCCAATTTAGAAGACAGCGCACTTAGCCTCATTTAGTTGCATAAACCAAGACAGACCGTACGCAGAGCCCAGCAAAAGCACGCTGAATTGCCTCCGGGCCCACAGAAATATCTACACTTTTCCACAGCCTAATGGCTTCTACCTGTCCATGCAGGAATTAAGCAATGTGAACAATTAAATGGCCTGAAAACGAATGAAGCTACTTGGAACACGAGAAGAGAAGGAATGGAGAAGAGGAAACCACTAAACGCTACTAAACTAAAGGACCACAGGTAACCACATGACTTCCCACAGCGACTCTCTCACGTAATAAAATACGCTTGCTGATGAACAGTGAACCTAGGCTAGTACAGCTCATTGCGCGTTTAAACGGCGAATGCAATATGCCTTTACTAATTACATAGTAAATATTTTTCATTACCTATTAGCATCCCGAAAGTGTGCTGCTTAACATAACCAAAGTTCACTTAACCATATAACATCTAACATGCACAAACTTAGGTGTAACCGGTTCAAATGAGCGGGCAACACCGCCTATTTACCCCGGTGATTCCCTTTAGAATACCACCAATTTCCTCATTCCCGCATTGCGGCCGCATAAATCCCCACACTTCACAGATCTACAGTCATCCACCAACTCTTCACAAGCGGTACTTATATATATTTGATTGTTTCGGCACGTTTCCCGCATTTGCCTTCTCAGTATCATACAAAGCAACTAGGTCACACGCGGAGAATTTACCGTTAAAAAAATTAAGTAAGGTCCCAGCACATGTGCTCCATATTTCCCACACTATAAAAAGCACGCTTCATTTGTTACACAAACAAAATGCAATACCATCAAAACAAACTGACTTCATGTACACATGGCTTACATTTAATTAAGTCATCTACCGTAAGCTTTTATCTTCCGTGCAGACAACAACCACGTAGATGGAAACCTGACAGCAGGATTTCTGATCAGTGCAATGCATACAGGCCATATAATTCCAGCGCTTTTGGGTTCCTTTTCGTTACGTCACAACACTTTACTTGTTAATACTTTGTGCATTTAAACCTACCCATTTCTATGCGGTAGGTTCATCCGCTTACATTTACGAAAGCGTTGTTAACTTAGGAATAAAATCAATTTTAAAAGCTGGTTCAAGGTAAGTTCCTCCGTTTGCAAACTACCGCTTATTCAACGCATTCTGTAAGAGTGCATGAACTATGGGGTTGAAGTATTTATTCCCCTAGCAGTTGAAATGTGAAACTAATTAACTTACTAATACGTTGCACTATACATCGCATTATAACATTTCAAATAATATTTAATATTTTTTCGCTTGATCACTCGTCAGGGGCATCAAACAAAAGCCTCAGTTTCATGTACCAAACCAATTCTGGTGTCGGCAAAATCCCATTACGACATAATATAGTAGCTAACAAAGTTTTAAGAACTTTTCTTATCTTTAAAACAGCTTTGGCTCCCTATCTCCTATTCATCAGCCTTTTGTAACATGTTCCATTTCAGATAATGGTACTATGTACTTACTCAGGCTTCCTTGCCGTCATGTTTAGTAACAGTTTGTATTTCGTGACCACATCCTTCGACCTTTAGTAGCTCATTTCAATTCTTGCACGCCTTAACGTTTAACACCACACAAAATATTATTTCTCCCCTAATCGCAATTTCTTTTCTATATTTACACGCCAAAATATGTTCATACCGCCACACTTCCTCCATCTCGTCGGATGTACCCCTGGCTGATACTTACTGTGCCCTCAAACCGACCGTACTGGAGCACATTCCCCGTGAACAACAGCCCGTATACCAAATCCCGCCACTGGCGGACTCGAATGTCCCGACGTTAAACTGCAGACCGAGAGCGTCAAGCCGACGTTTGCACTCTTTCACCGTCGGTGTCATCTGAAGCGCCCAAAATGATAGCTGATTGCTTTTAGGTTCTATTTAACCTTTGACCAATTGTATATTACTTTTGCTTGTTTTATTATCTTACGACCGGCTGGACACTCGACAGCCTTGTAAGTTCCTGCGCTAACGTTTACCTCGTGTCTTGCTTCATCCGTCTGCGTCTTTTTGTAGCCAATGGAATGCAGTCCGCCGGGTCCGACTCCAACTGCCTTTTAAAATCCGCGTTTAATTGTGTGCACTGTCTCGTCCCTGGTAGCACAAACGTAACACTAAACGTCGCAACCTGGACATAAACTGGACAGTTGTCCACTTCAGGTATTAATGCATTACTTGCAGCTAAAAGCATTTATTTTGACATTTGTTAATAAATTAATAGTTGATATGCATTATATTTGCTATTATTTGACCATAACCCCAGCGGTTTAAATGCATCTGAAGGTCTTTTTATTTGGCCGTTTTCGGTTTCGTAACCTTGGTCGCTGATACTGCTTCGTTCTGCGCTATTGTCTAGCTTCCTTGAAACTGCGTTTCCGCAGGTGTACCTATCAGGTATTTCGGTTAAACATTGTTTGATACGTAGGTGTTCCTTTTCAGCATGTCACGTCGATGAAGTTATCAATTAACTGCACAGTTTCCGTCTCGTAGCACCATTTACCGTGCAGCGAAAAGAATGACATCAGGATTCAGCTACGAAGAGGTGCTTCTGTTGTCAGAAGCTAAACGACAGAAGAGTAAGAGCATCTTTAACATATCTTAAATATGATTGCTTACACAGTTCAGCCACCTGCACACGTTATCAACCGCAGTGAAGATGACAGGGACCCCGATGAATTGGTACATAACTTGAGAAAATTGATCGCAAAATCTCAAGTACCTGCGTCTTTTGTTCGTCCACTGTTGTGCCTTGTGCAGCCGTGGATGCCATTTTTGCCAAAGGATTACCGGGGACTCTAGACAGCTTCTCAGCATTTCCCTTCGAGTCTCACTTGTTTTCCATCAAGCGCATGATTCACAATTCCCCGCGTCCGGTTGCTCAAATCATGCGGCGTACGTCGGAAAAGGAACAGCTTCCTCCTACTTCCAGCAACGCAAGCACCTTTGGGAATGTACAGATGTGCACATATAAGGGTCAGAAGGCGTTTTGTTTGCACGGCATTTTGTTTTCCACTGTGAAGCCGGATCACGTGGTCATCATCGATGCCAAACCCAGAGTACTGACAGATGTGTCTGTGAATGTGTCCGGGAACATTGTCGTGCAATGCCGGGATTTTTTGAATCTCCGTAGTCTGTTCACGCTTAGCATGGATTCCTCAACGGCGTACATCTTCCGTGCATCGCAGTTGTCAACTGAGGTATGTACCTTCTCTGTCTGTCATATTCTCTTCAAGTGCATTGCTTTACCCTTGAACGATTTTCTTGTAATTTACCCTATGCCACACAGTTATACACTTTAACTACTAACCTCTTTCTTTTTCAGCAATGATGGCTTTTCAAGGATACAGCGTTGTCAAAATCCTTGACTCCGAGGATTTAATAACTATTGTCAGTAACACTTGGCTTAGAGAAGAAGGTTCGTACGCTCAAATGCCTTCAGTGCGGGGTACGCACTACTATGCAGCTGTGAAAAATCACACTGCGCCGGATGTCGATGTGGTCAGCACTGCCGTGTCCATAATCGTTAGCACTAGTAAGTATTTCTCTTATATTAACCCACCTCGTTAGTTAGCTTCCAGCATGCCCGAGAAATGGAACGGCAATCTGAGCGCGGGATGCTGCCATCGACAGACGATACAATTCCCATGGGCCTTCCAGCTAAGCGTGCAATGTGAGTATTGTGTTTTTTATTTCCCCTTAGACGCCGGCCCGTCCGTTCTAGCTCCGATGACGAGGATGCCGCGCGTCCAAGCAAACCCAAAAGGCCTTCTGCAGCAACCTACGCACGTGCGCCCTCCTCTCTGTTCAGTGGCATTAGTCCGTCACGTCCAGGACCATCAACAAGCAACCGTAATTATCGATTTCATACTGCCCCTATTAAACAGTAATCGCGCCACCGGTTATTGCTGACGTCCCACCAAGCAATCTGGATGTGCTGCACGAACTGCAGGCCATAAAATGTAAGACGCCACAGATGTATTGCATTGCACTCAGCCTTATTTTTAGATGAGTTGTGTCTCATTCGATCAGAATTGGTCGGCCATCGTCGCATGTCCGAAGCGATGTTGCAAATGCTACAACGACAATCCCAAAGTGTTGCGCCTGGACTATCTCTGCCATTCATCTCTCTCAGTGAGCTAAAGAGATATGATGAACGGCTGAAGGACCCCGATTTCAAAATCAGAGTCGTAAGTTCGTCTTATTATTCAACTACTTTAGGTCAACCATTTATGTGCTGTGCACGGTGATAACATACAACTCATCGTCCGGGGTACCATGGAGCGGCTAATGACAAGATCAGTTGCCGCGGAGATAAATTACTCCGGCGCTAGAGGTTCGTTTGCATTCAGGCGAACAAATATGAACGGCCTTGTACAAGGTAGGTTGAAATGCAGTAATCCATAAAAACTACCAAGGCCTCATTCGGCAACGCATGGGTGATGCAGCCTCGGATGCTGACATTACACGGCACATCAAAACGTGGTTGCATTCTGCACGGCACAAAAGACCGCCGGTTGAGCAAACTAAAGTATGCAGTGCGAATGAGGTGAGTCCCCTGCTTCCTTAGGCACATCTTTAGCCTCCTACGTTGACACTCGCGGAAGCGGATTAAGAATATTGACTATGCCGCTTTCTGCTACTAACGTTCTTTGTACTGCACCCCTTCATGTATATATAGCGTTCCTATACCTCGGTTTTAATTTTCTTTCGCCTTGTGATGTCAGGTGCGCGGTAAGAGCGGTTTCCTTTTCTGACCAACAGCTTTGAGTCGCCGCCTAGGTGGGTTCCCAAGTCCAGAAACTACCGCAACTGGTACCGGGTGAACACTAGGTCCGAGCCGTCCATATATTCGTTAGGCGCATAGTGCGTTCAAGTGTGTTGTCCGTATTCGGATACCCATGGGAGGCAATGACGGGATCTGGACCAACCGGATTGTCACGCATAGTGGTGAATTTCTATTGGTCAACGCTAGCATCAGCTTCATTGGTCCAACGTAAACTGGACAGGAACCGATTTTAGCCGTCTCACGGTAATACTTCCTGTCCAGTTTAGCCTAATGCTCTCATAGGAACGTTTAGGATGCTAAACTGGACAGGACCTGGACATGTGCTACCAGGGGTACTAGTATTTACTAGTCCTACAAATTGGTGACCCTGATTCGCATGAGGGAAATTAATTTTGTTTGCCGTGTGTTGGATTTCGTGGGTTTATTCCTTTTCTCGATTATATATGTATATTCATTTGTCTATTGCGTAATTTTGGTACTTTCATCATGCCTTTCTTTATCCTTGATCTGTTCAATTCACATGTTGAAAGTAGCAGCTGAGTCGTTAATCATCGTAAACGTGTTTACGTTTCCTGTTCCAACTTTCATGGAACCTAGCCCGGATGTTTGGTTTGCAATATTCGAGATGGAACTGGAAAAAAGGACACTAAGACGAATTGTCCGAGGTATAATCAGCTTGTCCCACGCTTTACTTCGTCGGTTGTGGCACTGGTTGAGGACCTTCTGCTCTGAGAATGGAATGAATCAGCGTAGGAAACAATGAAGCAAGCGATTCTTAAGGAGCTACAACCCAGCGCTCGAGCTCGATTTGAACATCTCAGTGGTCGCAAGCTTGCAGCTAGCAAGCCTTCGGCGTTGCTCCGCGAAATTCAGCGCAGCGCTGGTCCCTTATTCTTTAGCAAAGAAGAGACAAACTAGCTGTAGTTCTCACGTCACCTAGAGCTATTGCCAGTAATGCGGCCGTGTTTCGGGATACGCACTGAGAGAATTGGCTCCCAAGGAAGACGCTGCGTTGGAATTCTACCGCAGCACACGATCAGTAGCTACGGTGACGTATTCTCAACGATGAAAACCTAATCTCATGTTTGCTTGTCGCCAGGCCGTCCTGACCATAAAGACGCAGAAATTGCGCTACTTTGCAGCAGGATAGCAACTATGGAGATTACGAAACAGCGTGTGCTTCGGTCAGATGCTGACCACATTTTGGCTACCGTACGTTGCGGCTCGTCTGTTCCTGCACTGAGTACCTCTAGTTCGACACGAAAGTGCAACCTTTTCCCTGCATGCTCTCAGTCAGATAACACTAAAAACATGGAAGAAGTATGTTGCTATCATCACCAATAAGGGGAAAGACGTAGACGTCGGCAGTCTGCCTGCATTGGGCACGACTCAGCCGCTTCAGGGAAAGCGAACAGCACGCATACTAGCAGGAGCAACGTATCCGTCCATAATCAAACAAACCGCTTGTTTTGCCTTAAGGATCGACGTTCTTCCATCACTCTCCTTATCGGCACGGGAGCGGAAGTCAACGTCATCCCTGCTAACGCAAATGACAAGCACGCAGAGCCTACGCACAACTTGCATGCAGCCGAAGGTTCTCCGACAGCTTCATTCGGTCAGGGCATGATGAACCTGGACCTCAATCTTCGCCGAGCTTCTCAGTGGGTCTTCGTGGTTGCGTCTGTACCCTTCGCAATAATCGGCGTCGACTTGCTCCGACATTTGGGGCAGTTTGTTGATGCTGGTCGCCACGGATTTTTAGAGGGCCGTACTAAATAAGTGGTCGAAGTCGTTCTTACGGTCAACCCATAATCAATCCCGCTTTCGAATCGCCTATGTACCTTCAATATGCGAACCCACTGTCTGAATACCCGTGACTGGTACGACCGACTGCAGTGCTTCCGCCAGTCTCGACCTGGGTCAATGAGCACATAGGCATGCGCGGTCAACCAGTTAGCGCACGACCAAAACAACTTTATCCTGACAGACTAGGTGCAGCACGGGTTGAATTCGACCACATGCTGCAGCTCGGTATCGTCAGACCGTCCAGCAGCCCCTGGGCGTCGCCACCCCATACGGTGCCGAAGAGGGTCATGGGGCCTGGCTTCCATGCGGCAACTATGCAACCTTTAGTACGGTTAGCAACCCTGATCGCTAGCCGCTCCCACACCTCGTGGATCTCACCGCCAATTTTGCGGCAAAAATATCTGCAGCAAAATCGACTTAGTACGCGCATACAACCAAATTCCGGTAGCCGAAGCGAACATCGCTAAAGCTGCCGGGATACTTCCATTTGGTTTGTTCGAGTTCCTGCTCATTCCGTTTGGTCTAAAGAATGCCACGCAATGGTTTCAGCGCCACGCCAACCAAGTTTGTTGCGGCTAAGACTTCGCTTACGCTTAGCTGGACGATATTTTAACCATAAGCTGTTCACGATAAAAGCACTTGCGCCATACAGGAACACCTTTTAATCGTTTGTCTCAACACAGGGTGACGAGCAACACTGAAAAGTGTTCGTTTGGTATCGACTCGGTCAACTTCCTTGGCCATCATATCTCCGCTGCAGGAGTCGTGTCACTGCTGGGTAATACTTAGACCACCATCGACCGCCCTGAGCCTCATTCTTTCAAAAAACAGGCTTTTTGCTAAATTTTTAAACTTTGACGGATGGTTCACATCAAATTGCGCTTCGCTGATGCAACCCCTCAGGCCATTCTCCGTAGGAAACGCAAGGAATTCGCATTTCTTGCCACGGTAAGCGATGCTTTTAAGTCGCTGAAACAGGCCACCGCCCACGTAGCTTCTATAGCATCCCACGATCCGGCCGTCCCGCTGTCCCTCACTACTGACGTCTCGAATGTGTTAGTCTTCGCTCTGTTGCAGCAAGGAGTAGCCGACACGTGGCAGCCCCTAGCGCTTTTCTCCAAACCCTTAAAACTTACTGAGTCTCGCTACAGCATATTCTGTATAGAGCTACCAGCCATTTACTTAGCCTTTCGCTACGTTCGACACGTCTTGGAAGGCCGATCCTTTGCCGTTTTCACAGGCCACAAAGCCCTGACATTTGTGCTCAACACGAATACCGACCGATATTCTCCTAGAGTTGAGCCACCTTAACTATAGCGCTAAGTATACGACAGACATGCGTCATGTCTCAGGGGTGCACAACGCCGTCGCAGATGCACTTCCCGGATCCAAGCTATCTCAGCTGACACTGGCTCTGCCATCGGCTTAGCAGCCGCGGCCACAGCGCAACTCAACTATCCTGGGGATAACATACTACGCAGGTCTCCCTCACTGGACTTACGACCTGTTCTACTGACAGCCACAGCCGGGGTTATACTTTGCAATTTCTTTCTGGGCACGCCCAATCGTCTCACATGAGTTTCCAAAGACCGCGTTCGACACTTTGCACGGCTTGTAGCACCCAGGCTTTCGTGTATCGGTTATGGTCGTCACCCCAAGCTTCGTTTGGCGCAATGGCAATGTACTTGTGCAGCTGCTTGCCTTCCGTGTTAACGCGTGTAGGTGCACAAGCACACGAGAAGCCCACTAGACACGTTTCCGATGCCGGTCGCTCGTTTTCATCCAGTGCACGTTGAGCTCCTAGGTCTGCCGCCTTTGAAAGGCTTTGTATGTCTACAGACCTCTATGGATCAATTTACTAGGTGGCCTGGTGCAGTCCCTAGCCAAAGTTGCTCTTCAGAAACCGTCGCGAAAGCTTTTTTAGAACGCTGGGTTGTACAGTATGGCGGCCCTGCCACAGTGACCACTGATAGTGGGTCACAATTTTCTTCCTTGCCTAAGGATGTAGGCTGTCGCGACGTCCAGACGACGGCGTAGTATCCGGCCGCTGACGGCATGGTGGGGCGTTTTCACTGCCAGTTCAAGGCAGCGCTACGTGCGCACGCAGATCCTTCATGGTCTGAAATACTTTCCCTCGTGCTCCTAGGCTTAAGAAACACGGTTGAAACAGGTTTCGAGGCAGCGACATCACAGCTAGTCTACGGTTGCACGCTGCGACTGCCCGGACAGCTGGTAGCACTAGCATTGTCTACTTCTCCTTATGACTACGGAAGTTACACCGATCGACTGGCAGACCAGATGCGTGAGCTGCGTCCACCCGCTTCTCGGTCAAGAAAGCCACAAGTGCACGGGCCCGCGTAGCTGCCTGCGTGTTCACACATCTTACTTCGCACTGCCGATGTGGAACAGCCTATTTAGTCGCCGTACAGAGGACCTTTCAAAGTGCTACACCGCACGAGTAAGGTGTGCAATATTGACCGCATTGGTGGACGCAAACTCGACACCATCGACCGTCTAAAGCCTGCATTCAAGGAAGAAACCGCAGTACGACGTTACAACCCACCGCACCAGTTTTCAGCCTCTAGTGTAGTTCAACCAGAACAGCATATCGGTCTACAAGCACCAGCCGTGCCGACATCTGGCGAATCTAACCGGCCGTCTCCCACGAAAAGTCACGCTAATCGGGAGGGGCTTAAGCCGATTCGTTTTACTAAAAATGTACAGTGTAAATAAGTTTAGCTGGGGATATTATATGTATTTGCCCCGTTCCAGGTCGAATAACGTTTTGAAAACAAAAAATCAAACCTTCTGATAAACCTGTGCAAAAGACTACGCAACTCCGAAAAATCTAAACCTGCAAATCATTGGTTCGTTAGTTCTTGCTTTTTCTGCACGTTATTATCTATTTTCTCGTATACATGCTCCAACCGGCCCCTTCGTTCGACTGGCCCAAA